GCATCTTATGTCATTGACATTAAGATCCATAGGGAAAGATCTCGAGGCATTTTGGGCTTGTCTCAAAAAACCTATATCAATAAAATTTTAGAGAGATTTTGGATGAAAGATTGCTCACCAAATGTAGCTCCAATTGTCAAGGGCGACAAATTCAGTTTAGATCAATACCCTAAGAATGATTTTGAGCGGGATTATATGACTAACATTCCATATGCTTCAGTGGTTGGAAGCATCATGTATTCTCAGGTATGTACTAGAACTGATATAGCATATGTTGTTGGAGTGTTAGGAAAATATCAGAGTAATCCAGGTCCTGACCACTGGAGAGCTGCAAAGAAGGTATTGAGGTACCTTAAAGGGACAAAGGATTACATGCTCATGTACAGACGAGCCGATAGTTTAGATGTTATTGGTTACTCTAATTAAGACTTTGTTGGTTGTGTTGATTCTCGAAAATCAACATCTGGCTACATTTTCATGTTAGCTAATGGAGCCATATCCTGGAGAAGTGCAAAACAGACATTGACAGCTACTTCTACTATGGAGGCAGAATTTGTTTTGTGTTTCGAAGCTACTTGTCATGGTGTATGATTGCAGAGTTTCATATTTGAGCTTAAAATCATGGATTCCATTGCTAGGCCATTGAAGATATATTGTGACAATTCAGCTGCGGTTTTTATGGCTAAGAATAATAAAAGTGATAGTCGATGTAAACACATTGATATTAAGTACTTAGCCATAAAAAAACGAATTAAACAAAATAAAGTGGTCATTGAACACGTTAGCACTGAATTGATGATTGCTGATCCCTTAACTAAAGGCATGCCACCAAAGAATCTTAAGGATCATGTGGTACGAATGGGACTTGGTTCTGTTATGTAATTTCATTTGTTCGTACATCTTTATATTAAATAAAACTCTTATTCAGTTGATATTTTTCTCATTTGATTTTATGTGCATATTTGTCTTGAGAAAATTATCGTGAAGGTGAGGACCTAGAATAAACATAAGGTTTATTCATTAAGATGTTTGAGTGGTTTTAAGAATCAAACTACATTGTAATACATGGAAGATATTACTCGTTGAAGAGGGTCTACCGCCATGATTCATGTATTTTATTTCTTATGGAGTAAATTATAAACCAAGTGGGAGAATGTTAATATTATGTGGTCTATGTGAAGTAGTGGCCTATACGAAATGTCTCTACTACTCCACTATCCCCGCTACTTCACTTCATTTCTAATGTTAATATGACATAAGTGAAAGGTCTCCACTAATATCTCCACTATTCATGTTAATTACTTCTTTGATGGAATGAAGTAATTGAGACATGAATTTTAGACTCTTTGGTCCCTTAAGCATCACTATATAAAGCCTTCTACACCATCTAGAAAATATAATGCAACTGCTTAGAAGAACCAAGAAAAGATTGCATTCAAGTTTGACACCAATGGCCGGAGGTATGTTTTTGGGATTCATTTTAGTTTCGATTCTTGAGTTTTATTCTGCATTGAATCGATTATTATACTAACAATCCTTCTTCCGTACTTTCCCCAGAACAATTGAGTAATTGCAACAACTTTCTAATATGTTCCTGAGACAGGGTAGCACTTCCATCATCTCTTGGGCGCATGGCTGAATGATTCACTCCAACAGATGTTGAGTTTTCTTTCCCTTTATTTTTAGTGAATTTAAAATCCTTAGGGAAGTCAACTAGCCTAAAGCACTTGTCCTTAGTATGGCATCGCAGAGGATTGAGCCCAAGGATCCGCTTGGTTGTATCATTTCCGTTGTGTCTCCTCCATAAGTATGGCATTATAAGCTTGATTGAGTGAAGGAAAGGGTTTTTGGCTCAGTAGGTGCGATCGAACAGCAACAAACCTCTCATGCAGACCACTCAAAAACTTAAACACTTTTTCTTTCTCTTGTTGCTGTTGATATGTGATGAAATATTGAGTATTGCATCTTCCACATTTGCAGTGTGGAGGTGGACGATAAAATTTCAGCTCCTCCCAAATCACCATTTAATTAGTAGTATATTCATCCACAGATATATTATCCTGAATAATGTCAAATAACTCACCCTGCAACTTGCAGACTCTGCTATCATCAGGGATGGAGAACTGGACCTCCAATAATTTCCAGATTTCTCTTGCACTTTGTTTGTAGAAGACTGATGAAGCGTGGGGAGACATCAATTTCAAGAACTAAGCCACAAGGAGATCATTACAGCGAACCCAAGTTGTGTGAATTGGATCAGTCACCAATGGCTCCAATAAGGTCCCATCAATGAACCCTGATTTGTTTATGATGGACAAGGGTAGGCAAAAGGATCGGCTCCAAGCATGATAGTTGAGGCCTGTGAGTTCTAGCTACACCAAAACTGATCCATAGTTGTCATTCGGCAGCATGTGAAAAGGGGAATTGATATCCATAAGCTCAGCAATTCTGTGTTTTCAGCCATGAGGGAGATAAATGAAAGAGCTCTGCTCTAAGGATGCTATGATACCATATCAAAAACTGAGAAACAGAACATAGAATTTGGGAACTTTTGAGATTTCATTTATTGAATATTACGTCTCCAAAAAATACAGCTTATATACACTTAAGAAGGAATATTTTGCCTAACAAACTAACTGCTTAACAAAATATAAAGGAGAGAACAAAAAAAAATCTAAATATTCTAGTTGTGTGTCCCTTATGCATGATTTTGTAACTTCTTCTACTAATGTGTGTTAATCATTTATGCTGGTCCAGCTCACCATAGTAACTACAACTGAGAATTCAGGAAAATTCTCTATTTTTTGTTTTGTTTATATATATATATATTATATTTTTGTATTATATAAAATTTTATTTTTTATATAATGATATAAATGTTGATATTTTTCTATATAAAATTAAATATAAATATAAATAATTTTGATATAAATATAATTATATACTATTTGGGTCACAAACTATTAATTTTTCTATTTTGTTTTTTTATCTTATAACAAAGTATTTTTTTTTTTTTTTTTAGTAATGGTAGTATGTGCTTAACATTAAAAATAACTTTTATAATTTACAATATATTACATTAATATTAGCATTATTTTTGTTGTTTTTAAATTTTTTCTACATATTAATATTATATTAATATTATAAAATTTATGTGTAAAAAATAATATTCTCTCTGTCCCATATAATTATCTCTATTTTTTATTTTCGTTCGTCCCACATAATTTGTCTGTATTTTCTATTTTCGTCCGTCTCACATAATTTGTCTCTATTTTCTATTTTCGTTCGTCTCACATAATTTATCTCTATTTTCTATTTTCGTCCGTCTCACATAATTTGTCCATATTTTCTATCTCCGTCCGTCTCATATAATTTGTCTCTATTTTCTATTTTCGTCTGTCTCACATAATTTGTCTCTATTTTCTATTTTCGTTCATCCCAAGTAATTTGTCATTTCTTTTTTTGAAAATATAATTATACACTTTAATTATATTTTAAATTTTAAATTTTTTAATTTTAATTAAAATATTTAGTAATTTTAATCTTAATTTATAATTATTTTTATTATATAATAATTCTTTTGTTTACTAATATATTTCTTAATTACTTACAAATTAAATTTTACTTAAATTCTCGTATCAAAATAAATAAAAGGATATTATGTGGAAGCGGATGGAGTAATATTTAGTCAAGCAATGGAGAACATTTATTTTTTTATTGAAATAGAGGAAAGAAATGATGATGCGGGTGTGTAAAACAATAAAATAATATAATACTCCCTCCGTCTACGGATAAAATATATATTTACTTTTGGTGCGATATTTAAGAAATAATAATATTTTAATTATAGTGAGTAGTTAAAAGTAATGTAATGACATTTTTGCCCTTACTTTTTGGTATAAAAGTAATGATGTGATGTAAAGTAAGGGTATTTGTAAAAAAAAATAAGGTACCTAATAAAATATTTACTTTATAATTGAACATGGCAAAATAGAAATGTGTATACATTGTAACTGGACGGAGGGAGTATTTAGGACGTGTTTCTTCGAGGCAAGTTTGGAGAAAATTCCTCAAACTAGGATGTTCCTTGTTCGCAGACAAACTGCAGGCAAGCCGCTTGCGTGTGTTTGTTTGTTTTCCTTTTTTTTTTTTTTTTTTTTTTTTGTATTTATTAAAATTATAAATTCAAATTAAAAATTTTATAATAATTATAATTTAATAAAATATATACAATATATATATATGTCATTTTAGAGAATAAAATTTTTTATAATATAAATAAATAAAAATTAAAAATATATATGTAGATATAATATAAATTTATAATAAAATTATAGAAATTGATTCACATTTATATTATTATATTTATTACCCATCGAATCAATATATATCAAAACCCTCAAATTCAAATCAAACATATACACAAAATAAACACAAAAATTCAAATCTATCTTAAATTTTAAATAAAAATCAAACTCAAACTCAATTTTTCTCAAACCAACCTAAAGAAACACACCTAGTTAAGCGACGGGAGAAAATATATTTTTTATTGAAATAGAAGATAAATATGATGAGGCGGGTGTGTAAAAACAACTTTTGTTTAATCTCTTTGATGTAGTCATGAAGATTCCTTACTGGTTCGAAGTACTTTTGTTAAATTGTTAAAGAGTTGACTGATGCATTTTGAAATTTCTCATTGCATTACAGGTAGCATTTGCATTGGCGACGGTTTAAATCCCAACCGCAACAGGAGCGGCCGGGCATGTTACATGTAAAACCGGGCGGTCGTACGAAAACCGGTCCCGCCCGGCCCCACTCCGGTGCCTACGGCGGGCCAAGTCAAGCGGATGTAAGTTTCCAACAAGTGTTTTTGTCGTTGACTTGGATGCAGAGTTGACGTCAACATCGTTACGTCAGGCGACAAGTCCCTTCATCTTCCACGAAACTCCCCTCCCTTCTTCCTCGAAGCTTCCTCACTCCGTTTCAGACTCAGACTCAGACTCACTGTAAACTTCCTTAACAATCACTCTTCCTCTTTAATGTGTGTATGTGTATTGTATATATCTCCCCATTGCTTTCCTCCACTAAGAGTTTCCTTTTCACAAATTAGATCAGAGCAGAGCACCAATGGCGGCCAAACGCTTCTTCCATGACGACGACGACGACGATCAATCCAACCATAAACGACCGAAAACCAGATTCGCTTCGTAACCTCTCTCTCTCTCTCTCTCTCTCTAGATATATGTGTGTACTGTGTATAGAGATCATGAGGAATTGTTGATGATTGGATTTGGAATGTTGAATTAATATGTCAGTGTGATCAGAGAAGTGGTTATGGTGAATTTCTTCGAGAATTTCTGCTCCGCCTTGGAACCTATGCTTCGGAGAGTGGTATGTATTTATGTATTCATTCATTACACATATATATATATATATATATATTTACGGATTCTGCTTTGAGTACGGTTAGAATATGAAACTGATGTAATGATATACAAATTCTCTAAATAAGGTAAGAATAGTACAAATTTTTTGCTTCTAAATATATTTTAACACTCCTCATCAAACTCAAAATTTGATCCAAAAAATTTGAGTTTGTCAGAAGTGAGCGAAAAAATATAATCGAGATCTTTCATGTATTTGAATTCGTCAAGATTGACTAAAGGTGGTGTAGTCGTCCATTGGATCAGAGTCAAAAGTAAAACTCTCAACAACATTAGAGTTGAAAACATGATTCGCTCGCTAACAACGGAATTAGAGCCGAAAACATGGCTCGCTCACTCTATTAAGCTAAAGTCGGAAACAGACTCGCTCGCTCACAACAGAGCTAGAGTTAGAAATATGACTCCCTCGCTCTCAATAGAGTTAGAGTCGTAAATAGGACTCTCAATGGCGTTAGAGTCAAAAGTAGACTCTATCAGTGGAGTAGTAGAGACGGAGATAATATGAAAATAACAACATGATCGTCGGTAGAAGCAAATACATTAATAAAATATAAAAATATATACTAGATATAACGGGTTATGGAGGTATACCGAGAGAATTTGGCTCTGTTACTATGTTATAATTTGATTTTGATACCATAAATATAATTTATTGTTTCTAAATATATATTAATAAATAACTTAGATTTCGATACGGTGAAATCTATCTGATTGATCCATTAGGTTAGTGAAGAGGTGGAAAATGAGCTGAGGCGGCGGAGAACCGCCACCGGTAACTGTCCGATTTCGAGGATGCTACCAGACTCTGCGGCGGAGCTCTGCTCCACCACGACGGCGATGGCGACGGCGAGTCTGCGGTTGGCGTTCACGCAACGCCTCTCGCTCCCGATCTTCACGGGGACGAAGATCGTCGGCGCCGACGGGAACTCTCTGCAGATGGTCCTTGTGGACGCGCAAGCCAATAAGATTCCCCATGCCGTCAAGGTGGAGATCGTGGTGCTCGACGGCGACTTCCCCAAGGACGACGCGCCGTGGACGGACGCCGACTTCGATAAAAGCATCGTCAAGGAGCGGACCGGCAAGCGCCCGCTCCTCGCCGGCGACCTCTGCATCACCATGAGAGACGGCGTCGCCTCCGTCGCCGGCGACATCGAATTCACAGACAATTCGAGCTGGATCCGCAGCCGCAAGTTCAGGATCGGCGCCCGAGCGCTACCTTCCACCTCCACTAGTACAGAGGGTGGTGCTGGTGGTGGTGTGATCATACATTCCGCCATCACTGAACCTTTCGTCGTCAAAGACCACCGCGGCGAGCGTACGTACTGCAAATTACTAAGAACCAAGTCCATCTATATATATATATATATATATGATATCCTTGAATTAAGAATGAATAGGTGAGTGTTTGTGATCAGTGTACAAGAAGCACCATCCGCCGGCGCTGGAGGACCAAGTATGGCGGCTGGAGAAGATCGGGAAAGGCGGCGCGTTCCACCAGAAGCTCGCGGCGGAGGGGATATCAACAGTCCAGGACTTCCTCAAGCTCTTCCATGTCAACCCCAATAAACTCAGGAAGGTAATAAACTCTTGATAAACTACTTACGGTCCTAATTAACAGAAAGCTCGTATTTAAAAAAAAATATTATTTATTATTATTATTAAATTTTAAAATTAAATTTTAATTTTTAATTTATATTTTTTTTTCATAATTATCTAATTTAATTTTAAAATTAAAATTAAAATTCTAATTATATATATATATATATTTTTATTTTTTCTTTCATGTTTCACCCTATTTTTTCAAATTTATTCGTTGTCTACTTTTTTTTATCTCATATTATCTAGCATTGCGTTCACCAACTCAGACCAAACCTGACCAAACCTGCCTCACTTTCTCTTTTATCTCTTTCATGGTCCTTTAATCCTTTTCATTTTTCGAACTTTTGGATATTGCTCTTTCATCTTTTTTTTTTTTTTTTTTTTTTTAATTTCTGAAATTGATATTATTCAAACCGTCACGTTCAACCTCTTATTAAAATATATTTTACTCATGAGTTTATACGACCTATAAATTATTTTTGCTCAAATCCCAAAAAAGTCAGAGATGTCCGATATATATATATATATATAGAGAGAGAGATAAATATGAATGAGCGGCATGGCGTGGGTGCAGATTCTGGGCGGCGGGATGTCGGAGAAGATGTGGGAAGCAACACTGAAGCACGCCAAGGAGTGCGTGGTGGGGAACAAACTGTACAAACTGCACGCCGGCGACTGCACGCTCACCTTCAGTCCCGTCTGCCAGCTCATCGGATTCGAGTCCAACGGTCAAGTGCTTCACCACCACACCCATTTCAGAACCACCATGCAAACGGTAACTTCTTCTCTTCATTTTAATCTTCCTGCATATATTATACATAAAAGCAGCTACATAGCATTTGAAATTGCCTTACTTTAAATATATTACTACGTCCTTTCCGTAAAAAGAGCGATATTTTTTTTTACACGTAAATTTTTTAAATAATAACACTTGTGTAATATATTGGAAGTCGTGAAAGTATTAATCATGTTAAGTAAATAGTAGATTATTGAATTAAAAAATAATATTTTTTTTTAGAGAGAAGGAGTAACATATTTTAGAACAGAGTATATACATAATAATGCAATTGTATGCAGATTAATTATATACATATAGGTTCAGTTGTCTTACTCCTGCCCCTTCTGCTGACCAATCATCATCCTCCATCATGTGTATTTAAAAATTTTTATATTAATTTTTTTTGTTTTAAAAATACACTTGACAGATAATGATCGATCAATATAAGAGGAGCTCAATACATTAGGCAAGACAACTGAACTCATATATATATATATATAAATACATACAATTAGCAAGACTGATGATTAAAAATTGCAGTGCTATTAGGCGAATATGATGTACACTATTACATTTTTATTTATAAAAAATAAATAGTAATTCCGTTAATTTGTTCACCTTATTTGGACACAAAATTCTTGATATTTTGTAATTAATAAATAGTTAAAAAATATATTAATAAAAATAATTATGATGTAATAAAAATAATTATAGGTTAAAATTAAAATGACTAAATAGTTTAATTAAAATAAAAAAATTTTAAATTATGAATTTTTAACGGATCGAAATATAAAGAGTATGACAAATTATGTGGAACGAATAAGGAAGTAATAAATTAGATTATGTGGACAACTTTTTACTTTGGATAAATTTGGATACAAGGTTCATTCCTATCCACGTTAGCACTGTGTGGGATTCTTAATAGTCATTACTTTACAGTGATTATAGAGTAAAAATAATAAAGTCAAACTTAAAAAGAATACAACCTTTATTATACTCCATCCGTCCACCTAGAAAGTATATATATTTTTTATTTTAGGACGTCCAATTAGAAAGTAATTATTTCATTAAATACCTCATTTTTTTTTCCCACAACTATTTATATTTCACATCACATTATTACTTTTATACCAAAAAAGTAAGGGTAAAAATATAAATATTATATTGAAATTAAAAAAGTATTAATTAATAATAAAATATTTATTAATTACTATAATAATGATTATGTAGGCATATATAGAAAGCTTGGTGAAAGATGCGTATGCAAAATGGGATAGACTGGAGATAGTAGAAGGACCGCTGCACCAAACCCAGCCACTACTGCTAACCCAAGGTAACAACAACCAATTTTTTTACATTTAATAATACTAATATTTTTTCTATTATTCTAATTTTTATTTCTTTATTTTGCTCTCATAAAAAAATATGTTGTTTTTTTCTAAGTATATAATTATGTTACTTTTTGTATTTATGTTTTACTATAAAAAATTTTAAAAGTTCAAAAAAAAAAAAAAAAGATACACATTCATATTAAAATATGTGTTCAAAAATTTAAAGTATAAAATTAAATTACAGATATTTGAATTTGAAATTTTATGGTGATATCTAAATTTAAGCTGGATAAGATATTTTGAAACTATATATTTTAAAAAATTGCTATATGTAGCCAACAAATAAAATCAAATACAAGTTATGTTATTTTGGAGTTTAGTATGATTTTTTATTTTATTTGAATAGTGTTTAAATATTTTATTTTTTTTAGAAAATATATATATGATTTATAAAAATAAAAATAAAAATCAGAATAATTATATAATAAAAAATTAAAATTAAATTATAAAATAAATATTTCATTCGTCTGATTTGAAATGACTATTATTTAAGGTAAATGATTTAATTAGTTAATAATAGTAAATTATGATACTATTTTATTATATTTTTATATGAATAATATTGTTAGTAATTTTAAATTAAGAATTAATATATAATTTAAATAAATTTAAAATATGTGTTTGAATATTTTAAATAGTATATTTCAATAAAAAATATATGGAATATGAATATTATTTTGTGAAGAATGAAATTTTAAATATTATAAATAAATAGAAATATATTTATTTATTTATAATTACGATAAATTTATTTTATTAAAAAAAAGGAAGTTATGAATGTAGATAAAAATATTTGTTTATTGATGAGAGATAGAAATAAAAAGATTTTAAGTGAGTGTCATATAACATGTGATATTATATATTATAAAATTAATTAAGTTGATTTATATTTGTTAAGTATATTTAAATTTAGTAAATTATACAAAAAATAGAAAGTGGGTTAGACAAAAATAAAAATTGAAACAAGTGAAATGGGAAAATTTATAACGTTTTCATTCTGGTTTTTGGTTTTTAATAGTAAAATTTATATAATAAATAAAAAATTAAGTGTTTGATTTAATATTTTAAAAAAAAAATTGAGAATAGGAAAATCAAAATTAAAACCTTACAATTAAACACACCCTTTGATTATCCCATTTTTTAATCTCCATCATAAGAGTACAATGTACTTAAATACTAGTAGAAATTTCAAATGTTTTCTTTTTTCTTTTTCTTTTTCTTTTTAAAGTTTAGTTTTAATTTTTTTTTACCATATAACTATTGTAATGTATTATAATAATTTTTTTTTCATAAATAATTATATTTAAACCTTTGTTTAAACAAAAAATTTAAATTCTAAATCGGACCCTTTGATATGGAACTTCTTTTAAACATGTTTTAAGTAAAATAACTAAAATGGTAATAAAACTATCATTATGCCATAATATATAATAAATATTTTTATTATCTCTCTTTTTTTTAAAAAAAAAAAAAAAAAACCCATATGCATAAAAATTCTAGAAAATAAATTTTATAAAGAATATAATTGCTTGTAATGTGACTAGCTACATGTATGAATGCATAAATAGATCTTTTTAAACTACTAAAAATAAATAAACACTCATGAGAAGCACATTTTTAATTGTACATATACAAAATTAGAGTTACAAGACAATTTCTATCTCATTATTTTATTTTTGCGGTAGGTACAGTAAAAATGCATTTAATCTACACTAATTTTACTCCAACTATAAACTTCAATTTTCGCTAAAAAAATATATTCCTTATATATTTTTCTTTGATATTATTTTATATAACTTTTTATATTTATAAATTACACCACAACTTTAATCTATTTTTACAATTAACCCATATATATATATAATTACACATTATATATCACTTTTCGAAAGATATAATTATATATCACTTTTTAAAAAATAAAATTATACATTATTCTTAAAAAAAATAAAATTATGTCACTTTCCAAAAAATAAAATTATATATTATTTTTTAAAAAAATAAAATTATACAATATACCAAAAAAAAATAACAAAAATACACAACACGATAGAAATATCACATAAACTCCACTCCAAAAATAGAGTAGAGTGTACAGTATTATTCCGAAAATGAAGTAATAGGGGGGAGGGTGGAGGAATTTGGGGATGGATTGGAACTCTCCCCCCATTTTTGACACAACCCACTGCATTTATTTTATTTTATTTTTTTTTTTGGAGTTGTTCTAAGAGCCAATGGAAATAAATTATATATATATATATATATAATAGGTGAAGTGACGGTGGAACAATATTCGAAGGAGGAATATTTGAAGGAAAGTGAAGCAAATTACTCAGATGAATCAATCATCTATGGGGATTGGAATATTCCACATTAATTAATTAATTAATTAATTAATTCCCGTTCTCAATCACCACGCGAGTGTGTATATATATATATATATATATATATTATTTGATTTAGTTGTCTGTTCTGGTTTCATCATTTACATTGTTTGTTTCTTTCTGTATGTATTGTGTAGAAGTAGAAGTAAAAAGAAAATAAAATTAGTTGTACATTCCTTTTGAGTCAGTCTCTTTATTATATACTTCTATATTTTATTTTTTATATAACACTCTCTTGTGTTTTTAGTAACAATGCACAAAAACACTCGTGTTTTATTTATTGCGTGAAATCCTTTTTTATTAATGTCAAGTTTGTACGAAGCACTTTCATTGTCCAAAATTGATATTTTATTTTAAATAAAGACCTAAATTACGTAAGTTTTATACAAATAAAAAATGCAAAATATGTTAAATTTTTTTTTTTCATAAAATAAATAAATAAATAATTGATTATTCTTTTATTTTATAGTTTTTAAAGACAAATTGTTATCTGATTTTTATAAAAACAATAAAAATAAACTATTGATCAATTATTTATTTATTTTATTCAACAAGATTATTTAAAATATTTTACATTTTTTATTTGTATAAAATTTGCGTAACTTAGGTATTTATTTAACATCAAATATCAGTTTTGGACAAAGAAGGTATTTGTACAAACTTTACATTAACACAAGGGAGTTTTCCCCGAAAAATAAAACATATGGTGTATTATGCATTTTTACTAAAATACAAAACAGTGTGTTATAATTTACCATTTATCTTTTTATAAGACTATACTATAATTTTATAATATGACTAAATACTATTTAAACACAAAATACAAATATAAACCAAAATAAATACACCCTAATTGTTCATGGCTTTTGTTTCTACTTTCTCATTTTTCGTACATTCGGATTTATGTGCTATTGTGATTTGGTGTTGGTTGAGACTCCTATTTTATATTAAATTTGTAATATTCCCTCCGTCCTATAACAAAGAATCTATTTTTTCATTTTAGTCCGTCCCATAACAAAGTATCTATTTCCTTTTTAAGCAATTATACTATCTACCTAATATTACAAATATCCTTACAACTTACAATATATTATACAAATGTCATTACATTTATATCACACATACTAATAAGGTTATTTTAGTCATTTTTACTTTATTCCTACTATATTCCAATGTAATACTAATATTTCTAAAATTACGTGCAAAAAATAAATGAATATTTAGTTTCGGGATGAAGGGAGTATGTTATTTTGTGGCACATACGAATGTAATAGATGACTGCCAAAATCTTTTTAAAAAGAAAAATAATAATAATTAGACAATATTTTTAACTAAAAATTTGAATTCCACATGTATATATATATATATATGAAGGCAGTTAATGTGCTAATATAAAATTAATTAGTAGATACTGACAACACAAATTATAATCCGACGACACATAAAATTTAAATATACAACACAATATATATATGTTTATATTGTTACAAAAATTGAAAAAAACAAGATAATCAAGAACGCACATACAAGAAGATAAAAATTTGTTGATTCAGTTCAAATATAATGATCTATGTTTGGAAGCATCCAAGCCAGTTATATTTACTAATATTTTCAGGTATGATTACATAGTGAATACGTCAAGTATGTATAAATGTTTAGATAAAAATCCTAGCACGTGGCCTAATAATCTGTACGACAATTTTATTTCTACTTTTAACTTTTTTAGGCTCCAACTTGAGCTTAACAATATAATAATCTTCCACTTGAAGTTCAAACTCTCTAATTTTTTGCTTTTGGTTTTCAACTAGTGATTGCAAAGCCGTCAAACCTCATTAACTCATTGAGAGCAATTGATGTAGAGCATAACATCAATTTATCTAAGATTACTACCTTATTGAAAATGTCAATTGGATTTTTCGATCCCTCAATCATCTTCAATTTCTAAATCTCCTTCTCCAATAGCTCATGAATGTAATGAACTCTCAACCCAATATGTTTTGTTCTTGCATGGAATGCAAAATTCTTTGCCATGTGAAGTGTACTCTTATCATCACTATGTAAACCTCTATATTTCATATCTTTTTCTAACTCAATCATAAATTTCCACATCCAAACTATCTCCTTGCTAGCCTTTGTTACTATGATATACTCGGATTCTGTCTTCGACAAAACAAACACATTTTGCACTTTCGAAGTCCATGATATTGTTATTCCTCCACAAGTGAACACATATCCAGATGTGTTCAAGACTCCCTTCTCTTGAAAACCAATGTCTTATCTGTAGTGCCTCATAGATACTTTAATATCCTCTTCACTTTTGGTGAGCCTTTATTTGAAAACTTAAAGTGACTCCTTAAAGGCTTATTCACGGGCTTTGTATCATGCATATTGAACCTTTCTTAAGACCTTCTTCACATACTTTGCCTGTGAGAGACTCAACCTCCCACTATCTCAGTCTCGAGTACGCGCTTGTTAGTCTCTCTAAAGTAGTATGATAACTCTTGATTTTAACATATTTTATAGCATATATTTATTTAATTAATTATTTATTTATGTTAAGTTTTGGTATTATTTATATTAATTTATTCTAATACAAAACTTTTGGGATCGAATGTGAGTAGTTTAATGCAAATGTTACCCATAAACTTGAATGTGCGTACCTTGATTTGTTGAAAACAACAGGAAATTTCAGATGGGTGTGCTGGGACACTTGATTTTGAAAGAATTTCAAAGTTCGTTTAAAATGGTTTAGGGAGATTGAAAAGTTCTTTACAGTACGGGTGGGGGGGAAATATAGGGTTTATGGGTTATTAAAAGCCCCTAGTCATGATTTTGAAATATTGAAAATTATAGGGATTAAAGTCTACTTTTCATAATATTTACGTCCTATTTGTTTGCAATCGCTCTATTTGATTTTGGTTGTGAAAATAGGCTCGTAAAAAGCATCCATTGAATTTACAAGATCTAACCAAAAAAACATTTAATCTATACTCGAATGCGGTTAAACTAGATATAATGCGATTAATGATAAATCAGTAAGAACTATAATAAAGAATACCGGAAAAGATACGGATGTGTCTGGTTCAGTGTTACCTTCCCCTCCTCATACTGAATCTTTGTTTGCTCTCGAACAAACATTGGGGTGTAGTGGTCCAACACTAGCACTGATAGGAGTCAATTTTTTAGAGTAGCAAAGTATGGAGAATCCCCCAATATACTTCTTTAAATGTATTCCATTTACAACGAAACCACATGATCATTTGAGAAGTTAGGATTGTAGATTCACACAACATTTCTAGATAACACCTACTTGATAATATATAGCCCTGTCTAGCGTAACTTTAATTTCCAAGAAATAAGTGGAGTATGGAGTTGTATAGTTTAACCTTGTCTTCTTCTGCGAAGTACTTATGGTGAATAATCTTATCATAATAAAATTGAGCTTGTTCCTTATAGATTTTGGCAAGCAAGGAAATGAAACTCATTCAAATCGATCAGAAATTTTTCTTCTTTTTTTTGGTGCTGGAAGGTTGTCAAAATTCAGAAATTGGATTGTCCAATATGTTTTATGCTCTAGTTCTAATGTAAAATGACAGGATTGGGCAAAATGGAGACATTCTAATTGGAGTCTTGAATACGGTCCCATATGCCCATAATGCATCATTCAATTTTACTGCCCAATCTAATATATATTTTTGTTGACAATGGGTTGCAAATGTGCTTCAATTCGTGATTATTCACTTCAATTTGACCACTAGATTGTGGATAATAGGGTTAATTTTGAGTTGAGCCGCCTACCCCCAATTATTAAGATTATTGAGATCCTGAAATAAATTGATTTGAACATGACAATAGGACTGAGAAGATCCGTGAGACAACATCGTGCATTAGAGAGGTACTCGCTTACTCTTTATTATTTACTCTTGACTGAAAATAGTGAATTTAAATGTTATGCAAAAGCCAGACCTAGTCAAGAAGCTAGTAAGTAAAAATTTGTTGCATATAATGAGACGAATTACATCATAACTAACCAAACATAGGAGTTGAATAACAGATACCTAGAAGAATTTTACCCTTGGACCCGCATTGAGGATATCTTGATCCCATCACCAAATGGGAGCTTCTAGTTAGTGATTTGATTGAATTTAGGAAAGAGCAGTCCGTACAAGTGCGAACCGAGTTTCAGTTGAAAGGCAAGCGAGATATAGAGTTTAAATATGATAAGTCAAAATTCTACTGGGAAGTAATGATGGCAACTTAAAAGGAAAAATAAAAGAAGAATGGGAAAGAAAAGGCTTAGAGAAGAGCCGCCGAGTTTAATGCTTACGATAAGACACAATTTTTCAACATGCCAACCTACTGCCAGTATGAGCTCTATAGTGTGAAGAGCCATAAAGTTGAGAGAGATTTTGGTTCAAAATACTTTAACAAAGAACTCATTAAGTGGACATCTGATAGAGTTCTGTTGCAGCGCCTCACAAACCCAATAGAGCCTGCCAATATGGCGTTAGTAAAAGAATTATATGCCAATTATCAAGCTGAGAAATGGATTGGCAGTGTCTATGTTCGAGGCATACAAGTAGATTCTAGTGCGAAGATGATTGTGAAATATATCTCTAAAGGAATAACTGCACTATGGGAAGACCCTAAAATTATGTGAAAGTCTAGATGATACCACATATGACAGACTGGTGAATTTGTATTCAATTTTCACAAAAAGGCCAGCTATCACCAACAAGAAGCTTATTTGAAAGCGCATTCCGGAGGAATTTAGGCCATTGTTGAAATAGGTTGTGATGTGAATTTATTGCATGTTGCATCTTATAGAGGTCAAAGCCTTTCTTTGCAGTCGCTAAGATCCTTTGCAACCAACCCATCAACATTAGCAAATTGATCATCCATGACACCACCACCCGAGGTGATAACTTTTTAAAAGTTTTATTTCATGGCCATTTGATCCAAGAACTATGCAGTCAGGAGTTGAGATCCTGAAGGATGAGCCACTAGTTGATCTTTCCTCATGTTTCGCTAGAATTCTACCGCCGATGGTTGGCATCAATAGGATGTTCCCCAACGCAAAAATGAAAAACATCAACCACCGAGCTATCGGAGCAATCAAAGAAGAAGAAGAGCAAGAAGGCAGAGTCACCATTAATTATAAAAATTTTCTATTCCCTAAAAGGATTTGTTCGTTTGTTATTGAGTTGAAATATTCAAAATATACTGTAGTAATAATTTGATGTTGTATGTAAGAGACTAATACTATTAATTAGAATTATAAAGAGTACTCACTCAATAATATCTATGGATTGTTACAATAATAGGAATTTCATTATACAACAAATAAAAGACATGATAGCTAATTTTGATGTTCAATTTGACAATATTCTACATTTAATAAAGACAATAACACCCTTAAAGAAAATTAATGAGTCAGTCTCTCGATACAAATCTCTCCAACAACAAGTCAACCACTGCTCATGTTACGGTACCCCAAGCTCCACTAAATATTGTATAACATGATTTCTGATCCATCCAATTAAACATGGGTTAAAGTAGTAAATTTAAATAATATATATAGAGAGAGACATACATATACAGACGTATCCATATTCATCTTCATTTAATGGGAGTGTTTGTCTTGCTATCATAGAAGTGAGAAATTCCTATGAAGATAAATCACTAACAACATCGACATAAAAAATTATTTTTGGAAGCAAGGAGCATCCATATTTATTGGTACAAATGTCGACAGAATTCTTCCTCAAAGCCTCAATGAATAGATGTAAATTAAATTAAATGTATGATACAATGTAATTATTAATATCACCATCCTCACATAAATTAAACTAATACATTTATTAATACAATAGGAAATCGAATTAGTATTAAAGGGTCACTTATACACATGCACTCGTACAAATAGAGTGATATCAACAACTTATACAATTGTATTAAGCATATAAAAACTGTAATTGACAAACAAAAAACCATAGTATTGCTACTTTTTAAATGTATAATAATGAATAATTTCTTTTTTACTACCAAGCCTCACATCTTAATTAATTAATTAGAATTGAAACAATTAGTAGATGATTAAAAATAAGACAAACATTGTATTGTTGGAAGTGAAAATACTCCAGAAAGTGCATAATAGCATTATGACCGTAAGGATTTTTTGTGAGATAGACAGTAATCTAGCTAAAAACAAATGTCACCGTCAATACTTGCTTCCAGTTCTTCAAATTACGCAGCAATGTTTGTACAACTTGTGTTATGCAATAAATATATATAGAAAAAAATTATTGAACACAGTTAAAGAATTGAATTGAATTGAATATATATAATGAGTTACCCACCCCAATAAATCTGAACAGACGTATACGGGTTTGGAGTTGGAACTTAGCAGCTTAATAAACAACTCTGAGATTTGTTCTTTAGTACAAATCTAAAAAAAGTTTGCGTATGATGAAATTGACAACATGATATACCATTAAGTCGTGGATGTTATGTTTCAGCACATCAATGATGGCTCCAATGAATTTATGATCTCCCACCTCCAGCTTCTTCTCAAGGAATCGTCACCCATCAGAAATCATGGCTTCCAGAGTTATACGTGATCTCAGATGCTTTTCCATAGCTGTAGATGAATTAAGGACAATGGCGACAACGACGATGTGTTCTTTTGAAGAAAATAATTGTTAGGTGTTGATGGTTTGCAGAATTGCATCTAGCTGTCGATGGTGATGATGAATTCAAATCTTTTGCAGAAAGTGCCCAAAATTGAAACCGCTATAGCCTAGAAATTTCTAGTTTCGAAGAAGAGAGCTGAAATCGAAGCCATTGGAAGACATAAAATCGCCATCGTCTTTCATCATCAACGGGGAATTAGAGATATGAAAGTCGTTGGTAGACTTGAGCCGAGATCTGACATAAAAAGTAAAAGACAACGAGCATCATCCAAGTTCCCGGAAAGATTAGAAAGACCAAATAATTTCTCCATGGATTGAGTTGAGGTTATGCGGCTTCAAGAATCAAAAGTAATGAGAATGAACGTAGTGAGTTTTGCGGAATCAAGATTAATTAATAAGAGTTAATAAATGGTGGTGGATTCTCCTCGTATATATATAGAAAAATACTGGTGCCGCGACTATTCTATCTTTTTATACAAAAATTTATAACGTAATTATGAGCTAAAATATTTAGAGAAATTTTCATAAAAATATATAATAATTATTAAAAATATAAAAAAAAAAACAAAAAATATTCTTGGATGACAATTTAAAAGAAAAAAAAAAATAGCATAAATTGGACGAGCAGGAGCTGTATGTTTATTAGTTATAATATATTTTCATATATAAATTTTGATTATTTCATTTTTTATTAGTGATATTACTAAAATTAATATATTGTTATGATTATTTTTAATGGTGGAAATTATAAGATATGTTGTTTATTTCGATAACCGCAAGCTTTAGATGAAACCTGTAATGATTAAAATATAATATAACATCCATTAAGATATATTTTATATTACCACATCCAAAAATATTTTTATAAAATTCACAATTTTGAGGAGGCGGAAAATCTTTCTGTATATACGATGATGTCAAACCACCAATTTGTTCATTCATGTTAATCTTAGATTCTTGAACCTCGTATTTCCATTAATCTTAGATTATTGAGCCGCAAAACCTCATCAGCTCAGCTTCGATCCATCGATTCTCAAATTAATTAATCAATGGAGAAACTGTTTGGTCTTTCTAATCTTATTGAGAATATGTCTTGGAACAAGTTGGATCTCGCCTAAAGCCGATGAGTGGACTCCATATTTTAAGTTTATCTCTCTATGAGCAACGGTGGCAGCGCCAATTTTATGTCTTCCAGTGGCGCCCTGGATTTCAGTTATCCTTTTGCAAGCTGGCTTCCTGCAGTGAACAATAAATATGTGAATTCATCATTAGTAGCTCCATGCAATTCTGCAACTAATCCTGATCCTGACAATCATTATCTTTACGAGAACTCATCATCTTTTGAATCATCGTCGTTGTCCTTGATTAATCTGCAGCTATGGAGGGAGGAGCTGAGATCACGTATGATTCTGGCGGCCATGAGTTATGAGGGACGAAGATTCCTTGAGAAGGAGCTAGAGGCGATTGATGATGAAATCATCGGAGCCATCATTAATGTGCTGAAGCATAACATCCACGACTTTATGGTACATTATGTCGCCAATTTTGTTATACGCAAAGTTTTTGAGGTTTGCATTGAAGAAAAAATATCGAAGTTGTTTGTTAAGCTGCTAAGTTCCGACTCCAAACTCGTATATGTCTACACACATTCGTTGGGGTGGGTAACTCATATCCATATATTTTCAATTCAATCTTTAATTTATTGATGGTATATATTTTATGTACTTCCCCGTACATGTTCATGTGTTATATTAATAATATTTTTATTACAGAGCACGACTAGTACAAACATTGTTGCAGAATCTGAAAAGTTGGAAGCAAATATTGGCGTGATTTGTTTTCAGCCATATTGTCGCCGATCTTACGAAAAATCGTTACAGCAATCATATTATTATGCATTTTCTAAAGTACTTTCACTTGGAAGAATATAAGGTTTTTATTATTTTTAATTATTTAGTTTAGTTAATTAGGATGATGATGACAATAATTTACTTCATAACATACGAACATTTAATTGCAGCTATTCATTAAGGCTTTAGTGAATAATTCAGTTGACATTTGTACCGATAAAGATGGATGCTCCATGATTAAGAAAATAATTACTTATGTTGATGTTGTTGGTGATCTCTCATCTTGGGAACTTCTCACTTTTGCAATAGCAAGGCAAACACTCCCATTAGCTGAAGATGACTATGGGTACGCCCCTCTCTCTTTCTCTTTACATATATATGCTATATACATTATTTAAATTTACTAATTTAGTGCATTGGTAATTGGATAAATCAGAAATTGTATTGTTCAATACATGGTGGAGTTATGGATACTTGATTTAACAACAACATTCGTTGATTCATTGTTCGAGAGATTTGTGTCCCTTTCAAAGAATAAGTTCGGAAGTTGTATGGTGAAGAGATGCTTGCAATGCACAACTTTGCCTTTAATTAAAGTTATAATCAAAGAGATAGGCGAACCTCTACAATTCTTATCTCTTGTAAAAAATGTTTATGGAAACTACGTGGTTCATACTGCACTTCAAGTTTCACATGTATGAATCATCAAGATTTAATATTTCTTTATATTCATCAAATTATCCTTTTTTATATAAACAATTATATAATATTGTAATATGATGCATGCAAGGTAGAACAGATAAACTACTTATAAGATGCGTGAAAATTCATTACAAGATTCTAAAAGATAATGTCCATGGGTTGAAAGTGATGCAAGAGATTAAGAGACTTGAGCGAGACCGCCTTCATCTCATAAAGTAGTTGTAGAGCCTTTTGTATAGATTTATTGCAATTAATATTGTTGATATTAATTAAATAATTAAGTAGGTGATTAATAACTCCGGTTTACAGGGGGTTTTAATGTTGAGTAATATTGCTATATTTAACGTGAAATTTGTCATCTTTTGTCTCTATTTTTTGTCAATGAAATTCTTATTATTGCAATGATTTATATTTAATTAATATTGAATGAAAGAATGAAGAAGAAAAAATCAAAAAGAGAATAGAGGAGACTCGTATCAGACGAGAGGCTGAGGAGTGAAAGAGAACGAAATTTGAGAAAATACGTTAGAAAATAGAAGCTGAATTGGTGGCCAATTTTTAACGAATTAAGAAAATTTATATATGGATGGTCGAGAAAGAAAGGTTGGCCAGTGCGTAAGAAGAAGTAATATGATGCCATCAAAAGGAGAATGAAGCTACTACAAACATCTTATTGCCAATCACCATATCCTCGGTGTACGGAATGCAACACACTGCCACCACTGTCACTACTCTGACGCAAAAAACGTCACATGACATTGACACCAATATTTTGAGCTCGCTACTTGAGACAACAGTCCTTGCCTTAACAACTATAAATATACCTCTTAAGTGCAACGAGATGGACTCAAATTCAAGATGGCAAAATTAAAAACAGACGTAAGAGAGTTAAAGGAAGAAGTCGATGCCAGATTAGGGATGATGGAAATAGACCTCTTGATGCTGGTTCAATATTTCTGAACTTGGCCTGGTTATTATATGAGGTTATTATGTTTCAAATTTTATGAGGTTATTATGTTCTTATTTTTCGAGCATGTTAATTGTTGGTTTTGATAGCTCTCAAATGCGAACTTAATGATTTGAAACCGAACATAGTCAATAATTATGATTATTTGCAATGCAAATAATGATTTGAGTGATTGAATAAATGTGTGTCCCATCATTTCATATTTTTCCACACTTAGCTAAATTTCTTAGTCTTTTTTTGCCTCTGGTAAGCTAGCTTGTGATAACATTGAGCCGACACTCTTTAAGAATGAGCATGGAGGATAAGGTACGCGATATGAGGTTCGCATCTCTAGTGGTAAAAAGAAATAAAGGCAATCATAAATTAAGATCATGAGAGACACAATTATTTTACTATGATCAGTCGCGAAATATAATGGACGATAAAAAAAGGATGAAATAAAAGAAAATTAGACATCAATGTTGAAACGAGAAATATTATCATTCAAAACGATGTCTAGAAAAAAGAAATTTCTAAAAATAAAATAAACCACCAAATTAAATATACCCTTCTTCGTGAACTAAGTTTGGATGGCCCGAGCGTATCTGGTTTGTTGTTTGATCGGTTTAGGGAAGTTAGAAGTTTTAAGGATCATGTTTATTTCTCTGATATTCTTCCTGAGTAGCATCGTGGCACGTTCCCAAGTGATTACTTGCTGGCATGAAAGTTTTTTTTATTATACTTTGATTGACTTTGTTCAGAGACGAACAAGGTCTAGTGTGAGAATTTTTTATTACACTAATTTTGGGCATATTTTTCTAATAATTTCTATAAGCACATGTTGCAATTGTTTTTGAACTTGCTCTTAATTGTGTCAAAATGCCCTGATAGTTGTGTTTCAACTTTGTTTGTACCATTTGATATGCTTTGATATTTTTCTAGCATTTCAGATGCATTTTGAGGAGAAAATGATAAACAAAGATACGTTTTGGAGAGGATGCAATTCGAAATATGTGATGCTGGAATTTTAAGCATTCTCGATTTTACAAGATGTGTTTTACTAGCCAAACTATCTAGGGTGATCTGCAAGTAATGCAAGATTGGGTTGATGAGGATCTATGTTTCAATCCGTGTCAAAGTGATTGATTGTTGATTAAAATTTACATTTGTTGGATTGGACGGTAAAAATTCAATTAACGATTGTCATATATAACTGTCAATCTTCTAGAAACTTGGACGACGCCTACAAATAAGACCCAGATCGAGCTCATTTGTGACAATTCCACAAGTTGAGAGTATATTTGATGAAAAGTTTTTGGGCTATAACATGACATATTTTTAATATGAAGTATGCACACTTTCATACTAATTTCATAGCAAAAGTCCATTTCCATATATCAATGACTTACAATTTCAACCAAACCTCTGAATATCATTACTCTGCGGCTCTTATTTATTAATTCCTAACAACCTGGCCGGAGATTTTCTCCTCTGCCTAGATGGTTGGATCCCAATGGTATTTATAATAGTAGAAAATGGATCAATATCAACCTTCATTTTGGCTTGATCGGACTACCTAAGGATGCCTTTTGCACGGATTTTCTACAGGCAACACAATTTTCATCTTGATGTTCAAAGATCTCATGCCATTTGCAATAGGGCTTATCTAATAACTCTTCATATGTCGGGAACTTTTGGCATTCTTTTAGTCTAATTTGGTTATCTTCCAGAAGATTATTGAATTATTGGAACACTAGGAGGATGACAATCTAGAGTTTAAGGCCACCATAGATGTTATACAAAACAATAATGACTTGGAACTGGCATTGCAGTATCAAAGGGACTTTATGGTAAACATCATAGGAATCCTTCCCTCAAAATTCAGCTCCCCACAGGTTCAACCACCGTACTTGTAGAGGGACGTGATGGTCGACGATCTAAGTTCAGTGGTATGGTTGGAAGTTGTGGAAAACTGAAGGGAATAGAAAATAGATAAAGTAAATTTCAAAAGCCTTCCAATGAAAATTCCAAACACTTAAAGTCTCTTTTCTAAATGTATTATTGGATGGCCACACCATTGGGAAGGTATTGGTAGATGGAGGAGCCTCAATCAATATAATGACCCTATCCATATTACGAAAGATCGGCAAGACCATAAATGACCTTATACCCAACGGCCATGATAGTGATAGCTAATGCGGCCATGGAACGGGAAATGACAGAATAAATCTCTCTGTGATAAAAATAAAAAAATAAAAAATAAAAAATAAAAAAAACCAACATATGCAACCATCTTTGGACAGGATTGGATACACACTTCGACATGTGTTTCATCAACCCTTCACAAAAAATGTGATGTTTTGAAATAAGGACAAAATTGAAACTGTGAGGACCGAGGAGAATCCTCTAATGGAGGTACAAACACTAGAATCCATTTATTATTTACCCAAAGTTTTCCCTTTTTTTCAATGATGTTACAGGATGTTAAAAAATAGGATAAATGCAATCTTATAACAATAGAGAATTCGAGGTGCATTTGAGGTCGGATCCCACGGCCTTTTGAAGAAGACGCTTCCAATTGGTAAAAGTTATGAATTAATACAAGATCGGAAGGGATGAATTAAAAAATGCACGATTGAGGTTAAGGTAGATCTTCAGGAAGTAGAATACAATCTGGAAAGTTGGAAGGGTTCTTAATTTTTGTTTATGTGGGTTCCCGAAGAACATGAGTTATTTTCACCGATACAAAGAGCTACCGTAATGTTTTAGGCTCAAGATCCGCTGGAGGATGTTAATTTGGAATATTCAGGTCAAACGGATCAGAAATAGGGTGCTGGAGAGATGCATTGCTAGGAGCCGGGAAAATAGTTGTGGTATCATCCATGTTTTCACCTTCCATTGAAATAAAAGTTGGCTTTGGGGTTTCCGATAAATTTTTAAAAAATGAAAAAAGTTAGCTTTGGGGTTTCCGATAAAAAATATTCGACTATGATTAAAGCAATTAAAGCAATGAACCATGATCCATCAAGATTTGACGAAACTAAGAGTCTAAAGTGAACGAGAATATGAAAAGACGAAGCAACTAATTTGGAGATAAATAATAAAATTAATATGGAAAGTTTTTATAGAGTTAAGTTATTAAAGAAACTTTTGATGAAGACAATCGAAGAGATTTGGAGTTACAAATCATTAATGAGTTCATGAATGAATTATTGAAGTATTTATGGGAGAAGGATAAGGAATAAGAACAGGAGTATCTATTGCAAGAAAATCCAATTCCACTTCCAATCACTCCAAAAATTTTCATCATGTAGCCATTTATCTTTATTTTCTTTGGATTTTGTTTCATGTATTATTTTTTCCAATTAATTTTATTTCATGCTATTTTTTGCTGGGCCTTCTTTGAATTATCAATTTTCAAAGTTATTATTGTCATGTTGTATTTTCAAACCTTTTGATCCACTCCAGAATTCACTCACGAGAGCTCATTCGAAAACATCATTTTTAACTTTATGTGTTCGGAACAATATTTCTTATAAATTGTCGTTTAAATTTTCAACAAGAAAATATTATTTAAATTAAAATTTAAAATCAATATATAAAGTCAAATACAAACGTAATGCACCCTTAATTTGTTTACTTAAATATGTGTGTGGCTTGAGATTAGATCAAACAATTATTTTATTAAAAAAAAAAATACACAAACCATAAAACAATTATACTGTTATTTTTTAATAGTAATAATAATACTCCTTCCCTCGTCCAATCGTGGACTCGTTTGATCGGACACGATTTTAAAAAAAAGAATGGATAAAAATAAAAAATTTATTTTTTCAAATAAAGAATAAAAAAGTAATATTTTGTTACTAAAAAATAAAATAGAAATAAATTTGGATGACAATAAAAAATAAAAAAAATAAAAAAAAAACAAATGTGAGAATAAATTTGTAAAATTGATGGAGTAATTAGTAAGGATGTCAACCGGGAGAATTTGGAACGAATTTTGCCGGCCCCAAGACCCGCCCACTAGAAAATATTAGGATCCAAGATCCGTCCACCCCAAACTCTTCGGGTTCGGGGCCAACCCGACAGACCTGCTTTTTTTAAAAAATAATTTAATACTAAAAAAAACGTATGTGTCAAAATACTAACAAATTAATTATAGTTCTAAAAATAAGAAAAATCAAACATGGACTGTGATTATAAAAAGAATTGTAGGAGAACAAATGCCAACATAAATTTAATGTTCTATTTTATGTTTAATATGTTAAAAAAATAAATAAATAAATAGATAATATAATTTATATTGTATAGAAATATAAATAAATTATAATAATTATTAAAATATATGAGTTTGGGGAGAGGCGGATTATTAGTAAAACCCGTAACCCACCTCGAATCCAACCGAATCTAAAACTCAAAATCCACAACCCACTTCGAATCAAATTTCTTAAACCCAAATCCGTTCTATTAAAATCAAATCCAGAGCGAATTGGGACTAACCTGTCCCGTTTGACATCTCTAGTAATTAGAATTAAAAGTAATACTACTAGTTTATATAGAGCATTGGATGAAAGAACAGTAGGGAAGATGGCGACGACTAATGATAGATATCATCATACACACACCGCAGGAATGGATTTCGCTTTTTTCTTAACCTCTATCCATACACTCATACATACATACATACATATATATATACACTCTCTCTCTCTCTCTCAAGCGAGACAAGAGAGAGAGAGAATGCAGTTGTTAGCGCGTCCCCCTCCTCCTCCTTATCACAATTTCACTCCAAAACAGCATCCTCTCTTCCTCCCTCACTATTCCTCCTCCTCCTCCTCTCCCAGCCACCACCACCACCACCTCCGCCGCCGCCGCGACTTCGCCGCCTCAACCCTACTCTTACTCCTCATTGCCCCCGCCGACGCATTGAGTGCCGACACCACAACCAATTGCCACCCTCCAACCCCCACCACCAGCAAAGCGTTTCTAGACATATCCATAGATGGAGACCCCATTGGTCGGATTACCATTGGCCTCTACGGCGATGCTGCCCCAGCCGGCTCCGCCCGGTTCCGCAGCCTTGTCAGCGGTGCCGCCGGTGTGAGCTACCGCCGCAAAGACTTCATCAGAATCACACCCAACTACGTGCAGCATGGAGGAGTTCGATCCTACGGCATCGATGCTGAGCTGGCGCAAAAGCGGCAGGGGAGCAATTTCGGTGCCGAGAGCCTCCTCAGCGAGTGGGAGAAAGCAGCAGCAGCCAGCGAAGCCGAGGAATGTAAGACTAAGACGAGGAATGTGGCCGGGAGCGTTAGCATTATCGTGAGGAATCCATCAAAGCCACCCCCGAAGATGAAGGTGGTGGCGCGACAAGGGAAGCTGGAGATAGATCAAGAAGAGGTCGGGGTCGACCCCAATGGCACCGAGTTTGTGATCGCCATTAAGGACTCCCCGGAGTTGGACCCGTCAGCTTTGGTGGTGGGAAAAGTCCTGCAAGGAATGGATATTGTGGAGAGAATCGGACAAGTGAAGACCGTGCAAGAGAATTCATCGTCCCCCTATTTCAGGTAATCAACAACTCAAGTTTTGAGCTCAACCATAGCGAACGATTATACAATATACTGAAAACTATCGTATCAAATCCAATCCATTCAATCAACGGCGGTAGGCAAGTAGAAGAGAACACATATGTATCAAAAGCTATGAGAAACTATGATACCAACTATACTTGCAGAGAGTATTTTAATAACAACAGTATGTTTTTCTCTATTTAAGGGTCGCAAAGCTGATCGGAGACAAGAGAGCAGTGGTAGCAGAAAGGGGATTTAACAGACCTTACTCAAAGGTGGTTGTCACCAACTGTGGATTGATCGAATGAATGACTCTTGGACGCTCCATCCGACATATGCCCGGGATTGCTCGTCTGTCTCTTTGTAATGATAGACTACTGTTTCTACACCAACATTTGTTGCTGCTATTCCAATGTGTCAGCCATGACAAACAAAACCATGAATACGATCCAAAAGAAGGTGAGGGCAAAATTCCCCATTGAATAAAAATTTCAACTCGCCTTTACAGTACAATGTTTTACTGCCTCCATAGAATGGGGTGGGGAAGGAAATAGTCGAAAAAACTGTAAAAACTGTCGAGTCAGCACAGTGGTTCAGATTGATACCTTCACCGATGTCATGTACTTAGCTTCCACCAGAGATCTTCGCTCTTTTCTTGCTTGAAGGTGTGAATAATTTTTCTACAGAAGCAACCGGATCATCCACCTGCGCTCACAACAATGTAAAACAATTGGCGTCCTTTAACCAAACAAAAGGTAGATGAAAAGTTCGACAATCTTGTTACAATCACATTTTACTCTTTAGTTAGTTAGCTCTAGCATAGTAGAGTTACAGTGGGAAGAGGCGATATAATAAAAATTTGGGATTCACAGGGCATTACAAGAGCTCATATCAATTCATTTTTGCAAGCAAATTGCCGGCATCATCAAGCCTGTGATTTACACTTGAATACAAACTAACCAGCTGGGCACTTTGTCAAGAAATCAGTATGTATATGCTGTAACCTTTTTACCTCAATTAAGGAAGATGAAGAGACGTCTTTGGGCTCATTTTCCTTTCCTAAAGCAGTTAGAGTCTGTTGCCATCCAGGAGAATATTTGCCAGCCAAAAAGATCCATGGGCAGAAGTGCCTGTGCTGCTTGATTGGATCAAATTCCTTCAAGTTGGGATAGGATGGTAGTATTTTATCCTCCCCTGCAAAAGTTCATAAGCAACTTTACCACCATCGTATTGCATTGAAAGTTTAAGACATATTAAATAGCGGAAACAGAATGAAAATGATAATGCCACTTAACAAATTTCCGGATCCCCAAAGCACAAAGATGTGTTAACAATGAATGTAATTCCTTGACAACTTAATATGTAGGGACATCTAAGATGGTGTTTGATCACATAAAAGATGGAATCAATATTTCTTTGCAGAAATTAAAAGGGAAATGGCAAAACAAAACCGATATTCAAAAGTTTGCAATGCTGCAAAATAAGCATGTCAAGACTAAGATACATAGACACCAAGAGCAACAGTTAGTCAACATCTCTATACTAATCAAAGAATGCTACTCAAGGACCACAAGATTTCAACCCAAGATTAATGAACTGAACAGAGAAATTAAGATGTGAATTAATCTACACAATCCAAAGAACACAGGCTTATTCTCTGGAATCAACATTATTTCAGAATTATCAGGGCAGTTACCTCCAATGTTTCGGCCTTGTTCACTTTGAGCCTCATTCAACTCTTGTCTGTTGGGCTCAGTGTCTCCACCCTGAGCAACTAGGATATCATCCGTAGCTGTGGTATTAACTGTTGTAGCTGTCTCAGTCAAGTTTACATTGACAACAGAACTGTCTCCACCCGTCTGAGGAGTGTCTAACAGGATTTTGGGAATTAAATCTGTCGCCAGTATAGGGGTTCCTTCCCCAGAGACATTTGCACTCTCTATTGAAGTTTGCTGATCCAACATCTCTGATGACTTATGAATGGCCAAGTGATCCTCATTTTCAATTTCCAAAGGAAATCTTGCTCTCAAGTTCTCACCAACAACTGGTAAAGATATGGTGGCATCATAATTCAGCAGAGCAGGTGGAAGGCCACCTGCAATTGAAAAACCTAATGATGCTGAATCAGTGGTAACAGCATTTGCGATACCTTCATTATTTCCAATATGCATATGATTGCTGGAAGAACCTTCTTCCGCATTGAGCGGGATAGAGGTACTTTTACCCTTAACAACTGTAGGCCCAACAAACCTTAAATACTCCAGGGGCCGTGGAATGGTAGAGAAAGCCCATAGTCCAACACTTGCCCCACAAAGCTTGCAATCTAGAACAACACAGCCAGGATCAAACTGCATTTCACTAGAAGTTTTTGTGCTCTCACTAGTACACAAAGAATAGATACTAACTTTTTTCTTTTCTCCCTCTGTAACTGTTACATTGCCATCTTTCAAAGACTGATTTTTTCCATCCTTGAAGTCAACTCTATATGGCAAAACATGAGGTTCCCAGCCAAATAAGCTTATCATCTTCTGAGCCTGCATACATTGAGAAGTCACTACTCTTCACTGTAGCTGTTTTGGCGATGTATGATAGATGAAACAACTTAAACAAAATAACCAGTTAAAAGAGAAATGAAAATTTGAAGTAAACCTAGTTGAAAAATCTCTATATCAGCATTTTGATGTTACACTGAATACCATACAAGACACAAGTAGAAGAACTATTCACATTTTACAAGAAGGACCAAACAGCAGCATGTGCATGATTACCAGAATATTAACAGACTGCACAGGCCCTTCCATTCAGATACCTCTCATACACAAACAATTACTTGAATCTAAAGTTAAAAGACCCTAAACACACCATGAATATTACTGAAATATACTCAATATTCATGTAAAAAGTAAAATGGCAGAAAAAAACAGAACAAAGAGACGTAGTAACATGTTTCTTCCAAAATTCAGTAATTGCACATAGGATCAAAGATTTTTCAATAGTTTCTGTCAAACCTGATAGTAGGAGATGGAAGAAGTTGACTTTGGTACATCTTCTGCGAGCTCTGCCATAGACTGTTCATGAGGTGTGTTAACCCCTGAAGTTGGACATTCTCTTAAAAAGTGCTCCAACTGAGAGCTTCTCAAACATGCTATGGCTGCAGGTAAGATAACTGGAAGTGCTAATAGGTGCGAAAGTGACAAGAAGCGTTTCTTATAATCCTCTATCAACGAGTCTGATGACAAAATTGGAAACCGAGCAAGTTCTTCTGTACAAATGTTATTAATCCAAGGACATAGTAATTTATGCCCGCTTTCCAGCTTCAAGCTGAATACCATGGCAGCTTTTCCAACTGGTTAGACAATAACCAAAAAGAAGACAGATTCAGCAGTTGTGGTACATTTGTGCATTCAAGTTTTCCCACAAATTGTGCAATGAAATCTAAAACAAGCTAAAGATATATAATGTGGAAAAGAAAAGGTCATTCAGAGTATCATATTCATACCTTGTTGATGTGTCCAAGCAAATGGAGTAGAAAACAGTAGGCGAGCATCACACGAGGTACAAGAAATTGTGTCCGCATCAATGTTAACCCAACCCCTCCTGGCACATTCCAAAGGGCTGACAACCTAAAAAAAATGTTTCTGTTCTTTATAAGCCTTTCAAATTATATAAGACAGAAAGCTTTAGCAAAATTACAAGATAAAGAAGCCCAAGCATGTACTTTGCTAAATGAGTGAGCAGACTTTCAGCAGAGACGTCTTGGAAATTCAACTATGGTAAAGCCATTTACACTTGATGATTAGGTGCCTAAAACTAGAAAGTAATGAAATTGCGGGAATGAATTTGGCCACATTTGTTTCAACTTCATCTGACAGTTTTTCTAATCCTTCCATCTATGACAATCAACAACTTAATGAAAGAAAATTTCTATCTATAAACTTTTTGTACATACACCACGAACTAGCGATGCCAAGGTCATTATTATCTGTTTTAGTTTACATTTTACTAGTGGTACATAATGATTTCTGATCCCGAGTCCTTGTAACACCAATTTGATACATTCCTAACGAGTAACGGATATAAATATAGAGAACAGAATAAATAACGCATAAAACTCACTAAACTCTGTTACGCCAGAATTACTTGGTTCGTCAGGAAACGCCAAACATGAGTAGCTAGTCCTTATTTATGTGGAACTTCTTTTCATGGTCAGGTGCACATGATAAGATGCATAATAAGGACTATATTGGTTTGATTCAGTCGCAACATATTATCATTATGGCATTCTTAGTATAGATATACCATATTATTTAATGGAACTTTTCATCAAAACCTTTCCTATATGGCTTACAGACCTTCAATCCAAAAGGACTATGAAACAATGCTAAATAGACAACTACTACTTAGTTTATATATTCATTTCCAAGCATATAATTGACAAAAGTTAGCCAACCACACACATACACATTGTAGAGTCCTATCAAAACTTAACAACCTCCAGACCAATTACAAGTAGCTCCATCTTAATTTGTAAACCCAAATTTTGAAGTAAACTAAGACAATCATAAGTGGTATATGAATATTGGTAGTATGTTTCAGTCGTCCATGAACTTTAACAAGTCCAGAAACTAAATGGATTGGAAATGGAAACAACCAGCTGATTTCAGGCAGAAATTACAAGGAAAGAAGGGGAAAGATATACTAAGCAAACAAAGTTAATGCCATCTAACAAGAGCCAAAAAACCATTAAATGACTAGCCTTTTTTATCACACAGATGGAAATTTATCTGAGCACAAACCTAATTAGTGTTCTTTTACCACAGATGGAGATCCATCTGAGCAAAACCAGACATTCTCTATCAAATACAGCTGCAACTTGTTCATAATCCAAGTGCAAACACATGATTGCTGGGTATGGCTCAAATTTCTCAAAGAAGAAGAAGAAGAAGATTCTTGATTATGATTATTGCAATGTAGGAAAAAAGAATTAAAATAAAAAATGTTTCCTACAAGATGAATTCTTAACTACATGGGTTAGGGCCTATTTTCTCTTGATATTTAGATCTCTTTTCAGATGTGGTATATATGAAACGTACTAGAAATTCAAAATGGCTTGGAGGATTGATAATAGTGAAGGACCTGTTTCTCCGTAAGACTACTAGGAAGACGAGAATAATAGAGAGCCAAGAACTTGGCCATACCTGTGGTTTGGCAAACCAGGTCATCGACTTGAAAGTGGCTAACCTCCTAAACAAATCATTACGGTCCCAAGGCCGGCACTGCGGCGCAGTAACTGATACAGTCGAATTTAACAAGAAGTCCGGTGAATCATCGAACGCATTTTTCGCCGATTTTGTTCCCGCTGAAGATGGGTGCAGGCGCTTTCGGCTACCTAATTTCTGACTCCCTTGGCTGCGACAAAACATCAACAGAGAAGCAAAGCTCCATCAGGAATTTAGAACTACGACGCAGATATTACTAAACTGCCTTCATCAAATAAAATTATGTTCGACCTAACTATAGAAGTTGTGGCAAAATTCCATATGTAAGGCGTCACCAAGTGAAATCGATTCGATTGAAAATATACTCATCGACAATCACAAAAGCAAACATAATTCAAATTGGATGCACAAGAAATCGAAATTCACGAAACAGAATAAAAACGCAAAACGGATTGAATCCCTGGTAAATGAAGAAAACGGATAAATTGAAACAAACATACCCAGCAGCGTTGTTAGATTCTTGTCGAGATTTCGTAGGAGCATGAAACAGCTTCTTCATCACGGCTTCAAACCTTTTCTCAGATTCTTCCGCCATTCTCTCGAGTTATCTCCGTTCCAAATTAACACATTGGAAGATTTCTCTGCAGTGTAGAGCTGTAAATACACACACAGCTCTAAATAAAAGCAGCTTGTAAACACAAATGATCTGACGACACTCCCTTGACTTGTAAATATATCTATAGGTGTTTTTTTTTTTTTTTTTTTTTTTTGGATTTTGATTTTGTATCTTTATTTTAAATTATAAATTTTAATATTATGAATGTAAATATAAATTTTAGTATTGTAATAAAAAAATAATAATAAATGTTTAAGTTAATATTTTTAAAAAAATTTAAATAGTAAAATTTTAACAAAAATTTTCCAAATAAATATACTTTTTGATTTTAATTTTTTTGCACTTGTGCAATTTTTCTATTAAAAAAATATTAAAATATTATATTTAACTATTGTTCAAAACGGTGTGTTTGTTTGGAGGTTTGGATTTTGAGTTGGGATTTAAATAGTAAAAATTTTGAATTTGAATAGTTGTATGATGTGATATAAATAGGTGTTGATGTGATGTTCTGAATGTAAAATTGATTTTTAGTATAATATAAAAAATGAAAAATAGGTGTTTGATTTGATATTTTTGGAGGGAAAATTTTGGATGAATAGTAAAATTTTGGTAAAATTCTTCAAACGAACAAACTTAATGTCTGAATTTTTTTATTGATTTTTTTTAATAATTTTGTTTTATTTAAATGCTGCATTATATTGATTTTTATTTATTTTGAAAAAGTTAATTCTAATATTATTGTGAAAAGAAAGTTCTGAAATTGTTTAGTTATAAGTTGAGGCATAAGTTGATATATATTGTCTACTTTTTTTTTTTAATTTTAATATAATATTTCAAATTAAAATTAACACTAATTATTTGATACAATTTTAATAAAAATATATTATTTATTATTATAAAACATTGCATCAAAATAGTATTTAAAAAAAATTCAAATCAATTCTCATTTCAAATTATAACCAAACAATTTGTAAAATGAAATGCATTTTTAATTCATGTTTCCAATCTCTTAAAAAAAGAAGAAAAAAAAAAAAACATAGTTATATATATTAAATTTTCTATTTTTAATAAATTTATTTATGTTAATTATATAAATAAATACTTTTATTTATTTATTAGAAATAACTGCAATTTAATTTATGTAGATTCAACGTACAACATTAGTATAAATTAATACTAGTATAAATTAATACTCCCTTTGTCCATAATCAACTGTCCTAAATATTTTATAGAACCTTAATCCACCCCGGGAAGATTGGATTGTGATTGTTTAAAACTCGTTAAAATGCGGGCCTAAATGAACCAACCCGGGTGAGCCGCAGGTTGAGAGTGGGTTAGCCCACAGCGGGGCGGATTAGCCGCGGGCCAAGTAAATATAATAATTATTACTCACTCGTTTAACTAAATGAAATTTTTTTACCATTTTTTGCTGTCACATTAAAAAATTATAATAAAACTAATCAAATATTAACATCAGAATATATTTTAATTTTATATAAATTATAAAATATACCATTATAAATACAATTAATTTATAAATAAGGTACAAAGAGTAAAAAATATCAAAATCATCTTGTAGACTTTATTTAATAAATAATATATGATTATTTTTAATCCACTGAAAAGAGATATTTTAAGTTAAGACGTAATAAAATAAAATTTATATTATCATTAGCTTAAATAAATTATCAATATTGTCTACACGCTTGTTTTTCTTCTTTAACTCTGTTATCCATGTCACTGTTATTTGTTTTGATTTTTTACCGTTTGTTTTGTTCGTCTTCCATTTTATTATTTTATAATTTTACAAATTCATAAAATTAATTATGATTTATTTTTAAAATGGAGTATTTCTTATTATTAATTTTTTTAAATACACCAACTAATAATATTTAGAATTGAGAATTTTTATATTTTTATTTATTTTAAAATATTTATTATTTAAATTCTACAATAAAACTATTTTTAGCTATTTTTAAATATTAATTATGAAAATATTTATAATATTAATATTCTTTTAATATTTTTAGAAAGCCCGTGGGCTAGCCCGCTTAGCTCGTCACCCGCCGATAGATTGGGTTGGGTTGATGAAATTTTGATCTGTCCCGCCGCAGGTTAGCCCGCAAACAACCCGCTTATTTGCGAGTTAGGTTGGGTTGTGGGCCAATCCGCCCTACTAACCCGTTTTCACAGGTTATGCAATTAGCTTTTTATCATTATTTGACAATTTTGCTCCTCCACTCTGTAAATAACTGCACGCATTTTGTTCTTCTGTTCTTCATTTTCTTTATTCTGCGAACGATTTTTTCTTCTTCTCTCATCGTCCCCTAGATCCATTTTTCTATCAAATTTTATCAAATTTCATCTTCAATATCGTGGGTTTCATTCGATATATATCATTTTATTGACAATGAAGGAGCAATTTTGAATATTATGGCATAACGTGAAAGAGAAAAAAATATTGTCATCGTTGCATTCGTCGTGGTAAGAAATCCACAATCAGAAAAAGCACAACATCATAGCAACGGTATAATTGTTTTAGTCTCAATTTAATTTGTAAGAAATATCTTTTGTCAACGAAGTGTCAAATCTATTTTCTCTTTATTTTATTTTATCGCTCTTGTCTAAATTTTTTGCAGCAATTTTGCTGATTTTGATTTGCCGCCAAATGAAATTTTTCATCATTATTTACATCCATCTATACAAGCATTGTACTTTTTAGATATTTATTCATAACTTTTCACTCTTCTCTCGTTGTATTGCTGAATTTAAACCATAGAGTCAGTGTTAAATGAAAATGATGTTAGAGTGCCCAAAGCTAAGTGGAAAAGGCTCACTAATGATGTTTCAAATTCTTTTACAGAAAAGTAGAGATGGAAAAGTAAAATTCGGCTCCGTTAAAGAAGTTGCTCGTCAATTTGAAGTCACTGATTGCACTGCACAACGAATATGGGCCCAAGGAAGTAAAAGTATGCTTGATGGTGGTGTGGTGAACGTATCATCAAGGGCAAGTAAAAGCGGTCGTAAGATGATTCAAATCGATCCGGCTGTTATAGCTCAAGTGCCTTAACGGCAGCGTTCTAATCTTCGCTTACTTAGCGTTGCACTTGAGGTTTCTAAATCAACAATTCACAACCAATTCAAAGAAGGTTGTTTGAGACGGCATTCAAATGCCATCAAGCTTTCACTATCCATTGCAAACAAAAAGGCAGGACTTGAGTTTTGCATATCAAAAGTTGATCAAAGCACACTGAACGAAAATCCGACTTTTGAAGGTATGTTTAATTATATACATATCGATGAAAAATGGTTCTATTTATCAAGAACTTCAGAGAAGTATTACCTTACTCTAGAAGAAGCGGATCCACACCGAACCTGTCAAAGTAAAAACTTCATCCCAAAGGTTAAGTTTATGGCTGCCGTAGCACGCCCAACATTAGGTAACAATGATTCTAAAAACTTTGATGGAAAAATAGGAATATTTCCTTTTATCTATCAAGAACCTGCAAAAAGAAAAGGCAAGAATAGAGATGCGGGTACCTTAAAGACTAAAGTAATAACTAGTAATATTAGGGATGTTATTAGATCATGTTTGATAGACAAAGTACTACCGGCAATTCGTGAGAAGTGGCCGAAATCTCGTTCTAAGGTTATTTTTGTGCAACAGGACAATATGAAACCTCATATCTCTATCAATGATCCGGAGTTTGTTTTGGCTGCAAACAAAGATGGATTTGAGATTCATCTTTGTTCACAACCTTCAAACTGTCCAGATCTGAATGTGTTAGATCTTGGATTCTTTAATTCAATTCAATCTTTACAGCATCAAAAAGCTCCCAAGTCCATTGATAAATTGGTTACGGTTGTTCTTACCTCGTTCAATGATCAAAAAGCACATACTCTGAATCGGGTTTGGCTTTCCTTGCAACTAATAATGAATGAAATAATAAAAAATCTTGGGGAAAATAATTTTTGGTTAAAGCATATCAACAAGGAAAAATTGGAGCACGAAAATCAATTGCCAATTTGTTTGCCTTGTGATCAAGATGCTTTAATTAATGCCTTGGGAGTGCTTCAAAATCTGCAATATTAATGGAGAGGAGCTTTGTAATGTTTTAAATAATATGTTTGAAAATGGTATCCTAATGTGTAGAAGATGACTACTAAGTTTTTTATATAAGGTTTGTATTATGTACATTTTGTAGTGGCATAATAGCACACCAAATAGATATAGTGGCCACTTTATTTTGTAATTTTTTGTAAAAATATATTTGTTATATTTCTGGAAGTATATATATTTAGTTGTCTTCATTTCACTATTGCCCTGTCATTTCTCTCGAGCATTCATAAGGTGTTATTTGACAGATTGTTTGGCTGTTAATTGGTTTGGAATTAAGACATGCTAGTTAGTATTTTAATTCCTCTGATTTGTTTTTTTTATTATTATTATATATGTGTGAATTTTATATTGGTGCTTTTCAATTTTGAGTTTATGTATTTTTCATGAAACCAATTTTGGTGTCTTCTCATTTTTAGTTATTATGAAAACTTTGAATGTTGTTTTATGTGATATTGTAACTTGTAAACTTTTAATGGGGTTGTTCTCATTTTGAGCTATCATGAAAACTTTTTTTCTTACTTTTTCTGCGTATGGCTTTTTGTGTTCAAAGTATATTTTTATGGCATAATCTTTCATTCTTCTACATGCATTGATTTGTATATTATCAATTGTCTATTATAATCTAACTACGGTTGTGTCTTTTTTCACTGTATGATGGTTGGGATAACCACTCATGGAAATATTTTATTTAGAAGTGATGAAGGTTGTAAAGAGCTTACTTGAGTTGTGTGTTGAGTTGTTGGATTTGACTCGTCTCCTTATAACATTTGGCTTATTGGACTGTATCAAGTTAATAGAATGAAGGAGGCCCTGAACATATTTTCCCTTGTGACGCTTTTTTTTTTTTTTTTTTTTTTACATTTTTGCTTCTTGAAGGCTTGTTTGTATCATAATCCACCAGTTGATCAACGTCCAGCCATAACACATCATATTTGATTCATGGATTATCTTTTCAAGT